GTGTGCTGTGACCTAAATGATAATAGCGTAAATAATAACATAAAGGCTGTTTCTGTAGCTGTTCTGTTGGAATTTCAGCAGCTGAGAGAATTCTCTGGCTGATTTATTCTGAATTATGCTTCAGTAGACACTTTCTGCCACAATTGCTTGCTTTGCAACACTGCTGGCTGTTCTTTATTTTAATTCTGAGCTTGGTGCTTTAATGTCTCACCTTGCAGGGGTCAGGTTTTTTTAAACCTCATTAAATCTGATTGCTTGTTTGATCTTTGTTGGATTCATTATGTGAATATAACTAAATTCCTGCTAAAAACTGTGCAGGACTTGCAGTTAGTGATGTAAATCTGTAAGAATACATATCATAGCAGAGTAAATATTAATATGGCTATTCATGCCAGGCAGAACTGTACACAGTAAGTTTCTCAGTGAGGCAGTATGTGAAGGTAGCAAAGATGGTCTGATTTATTTATTTCTTTATTTATTTTCAAATCAAAGCTTAAGGTGAAGGAAAGAGTTGGGTTTGCCCCAAATATCACTGCTTTCCAGTAATTTGAAGTATATTTATATTTACTTTAATCTTCTCAGTCAATTAGTAGAAAAACTGGACAGTGACATCCCCACCACCACCACTGTTGTGTCTTCAACCCATCCTTTGTGATACCAGCACAGCCAAGAACTCTTATGATGTGACAAATTCAGTTTTCTCAGATCTTCTCTACACAGGTGATCGAACTAAAACTGATGAAAAGAACAACTCTATCAGAGTCACAGCAGTGCTGGTGTGGAAAATTGGAGAATTTTAACTGTTTTCCCTCAGGCAGTAACTTGACAACAACATAGCTGGGAGGTTGGGACTAAGTCGGGTTCACAGTCCAAGTTGTTCATGAAGTGTTGTGTGGCTTCAAAGCACCGATGTTGGCCATACCTGATATATCAGTATTTCCTTCTTGGTTTTGCTCCTGTGTATCAGTTTATCTCCATGATGTCAAGTCATGGGGTTTATGAAAGGAGATAGAACATGGGGCATTCCAGGAAAGCCTGGTTGCCTGGAGAACAGGGAATGTTATCCACTGCTCCCACAGCCACCCTGGGGTGCCAGTGGCCCGGGCAGTGTGTGCCCAGCCCTTGCACAGCAGCTCCCACCCTCTCATCCTGCCTGGACTTTGCTGTTTTGGGAAGGTTTAGGCAGCACTCCCTGCAGCTGCAGGAGGGCTCTGTGCTACAGGTGAGTACTCTCTTCGTGTTTGGTTTGTCAGTTCTGTTCCTAAGTTATGGTATTCATTTAAGTAATTTTTTTTTAATTAAAATTACGGACCATCGGTGTAAGAAGTCAGTGGGGAAATATGCATAAAGAAAATATTTTAATATTTAAGGACAGTCCTAAAAATACATGTTTTGAAAAAAACCATATGACCATTTTCTTCTCTCATGGACTGAGATGAAGATTGACCTCTTAGAACAAAAAGAATGGGAAAAAGGCTGTACTCTGGCTATACCAAGGCAGCTGGGAAGTTGAGAAACTCTTAAAAAGTATAAAAGTGGGCAGTCTGAGTATTTTAAAAGATGTGACTATAAACCATGGTTTGTTTTTTTTTCTGTTTAGAGAAGTCACTTGTATTAACAAAGAAGCCTAATCTCCATGTAATATTTTTAAAGATACTGATTGTGTCTTCTTTCAATACATTTTCTGTCCAGTAAAACCCATGAAATGTGGGTGTTCAGCAGCACTTTGAAAAGTGAGCCTTTGCCTCTCACTGGGAATGCCCTGTCACCAGAGCTCGTTTATTATTAATTCTTGATCTAGTATGTATTTTGGTGCTATTTTATTAAAGTTTAATTATTTGATTAAGGTTCGGGGTTGCTGCTCATAGGTAACCTGATGAAGTTCAGATATGGAAGTATCTGTGGTCACTTCGTCACACCTATTGTAGTGGTTGTGATTTTGGTTTAGCTCAGCCTGACGTGTGGGTCTAGGTGGGACTTCTAGGCTGGTGCCAGCAGCTGGGTTTAGACCAGGAATTGGCAGAAGTCCGGGTTTAGGACTGGAGTTTCAAAAACTTAAAGAGAAGCGCGGTGTTTGGAGCTGTAGGTGCGGTCGGTACCTGGCCCGGCTCAGCAGCTCGGGGGCTCCTTGGGGCTGCGAACACACGGACAGGACGGGACGGGACAGCCCAGCACGGTCCGGGCCGGCCCTGCACGGCTCTCCCGGCCGGAGCGCGGCCTTTGCCCGAGCTCCGCCCCGCCGCTGCTGCCGCCGGGCCCCGCCGCTTATCGGGTCCTGCCCCGCCTCTGCCCGGCGCGGCCGGCAGGTGAGTGCGGGGCCGGGAGCGGGGCCGAGGGGTCAGTCCCGCCGGGAGGGAGCGGAGCGGCCCGGGCAGAGGGGCTCGGTTCGCCCCGGGCAGAGGGGCCCGGCCGCGGCGTGAGGGGGCGGAGGTGGCGGGGTCGCCCCGGCGGGAGGGCCGTGGGGGAACGGCTCTGCCCCGGGGTTGTCCCCCGAGCTCCGGGGTTGTGTCCCAGGCCCTGCTCGGGGCAGCCTTACAGGACCGGGTGCCTCTGATCTCGGGAGGGCGAGGGGCAGCGGGTGCCGTGAGCCTGGTCTGTGGGGCTCCGTAGGCTCCGCAGCGGGGTGAGGGATTGCATTCTGTGCTCGCACAAGTGCATGGGTGGAATGTTTGAACTGCTAATCTGTTTAAAGAATGTTTGCAATGATCTTGTTAGTGAGACTTTTCTAACTCCGTTTGTTCCAACTCCCTGCAAGAGATTGCTCATGAACTGGCTCGATGAAATTGTCAGGCTTGGGAGCTGAGCATATGGGAGGTACTCCAGAGAGGAAGAGAGCGTAGTTGTCCTGAGTGTCTCTGCATGAACTGCCATGCTGCAGTTAAGTGTTTGTTCGAGATAGTGCCAGTGCTGTAACAAACCACAGTGTCCTGAAAGCATTTGTAGAACAGATTTACCTCTCCTGGTGACAGAATGAGTTTTAAACAGCAGAACTGTCCCAGGCTAAGTAGAGCCCTCGATAAGGTGAAATGTACTGCAGGCTTTGCCTTTCTAGGCAGTACTCTGAGACTTGTTTATGGATCTTCGTTAGGAATGTGATTTCGTGCTATATAAGGCCAATATCAACTGTCATGTTTTGTTATGCATAGTTTAAAGGATGATGGATAAGTGTGCTATCTGTTAAAGCAGTCTTCTAAAAGCATAACATTTCAGCTCAGTTCAGTAGGTTAGCTGTGAATTTTCTCCTTTACCTAATTTTAGTTCTGTAATTCCCCTGTTCCTCTGTCTCCTGAGTCTGAAGGAGAGAGCTGATGTTGTTGTTGACTGAATCAATTGTCCAGCTGCTGCCTGACTTGGGAGTTTAATAGGAAGGGTTTTGCTGCTCTTTTTAAAACAGCTGTCTACAAATGATTGTTTCTATATACTCTGAAACCACTGAGAAGCAACATAATGCAGCATTTGCATCAATTACACTGTTGTTAGTTAAGGAACATCTTGTGTGTGCTTAGAAGCATACTTACATAAAAATCTATGTGGTCAGAGAGGATGATTATTCCTTAGTTAGCATTACAAAAATGGAGTCTTGTTCTCTTGGTCCAGAGTGTGTTGTCAACCAGCAGGCCACTGGACATGTTCTGTGTGCATAATAAACCCGAGCAAAATTCTGTGTTCATGAGCTTCCGCAAACAGGATGTTGCTCTTAAAACTGTCTCTCAAAAGAAAGTCTCAAAACCTTCTCTTCACAGTTCGTCTCTCTGATTTGGAAGGGACAGGACACATCTTCATCAGATAACTTTTATATCTAGGCTGAGAACAACAACTTCTTCCTCTTGTATGTGCAGTCTGTCAACATTTTTAAACAGCTGCCTGCACTGACAGATGACAAACAGCCTCCTAAAGTGAAACCAACTTATCCTGGAGTTGGGCATTTTGTTCTGAATGGAGAGGGGATGGGAAGAAAATGTCTACATCTTGGAAACCTTCTGTAAAAGAAAATGATTAATTTATTTTTTTTTTACAGTGGACACCTCTGAGATTTTCCCCTCTCAGTCCCAAATTAGTTGTAACTCTGAGGATTAATAATGGAACATTATGAAGAATTCAGGGTACACAGAGATGAGGAATGTTAAGATAGCACATGAAAATGCAGAATGAGTTGCTCAACTACATCTAGTGTAGTGGAAAATTTTTGAAGTTGACCTTGGAAGATTTTCCTGAAAATACTTGAGGTTTCTGGTCTAGTTTTCAAAACTCTGGTCTGTAGGTACCATAAATGAGTTCTGCTCTTTTTAAGTGAAAAAGCCTGATGACTCAATGAGTTAAGCAAAGGGGAGCAAGTACAGAATACAGGAAAGTCTTGTCATAAGTTGCTTTTCATGATATAATGCTTACTCATTCTTTACTGGCAATGTGGCAATAAGGAACTAAATTAAAATGAGTTTATACCTGTTATATCACTGAAAAGCTAAAATCTGATATTCAGTGCAAACATGTGCAAACAATGGATTTAGAACAAGAAAAGCTCTTGTTCCCTCTAGCAGCAGGAGGGAGACTTATGAGTTAATCTTGACTGTCTTCCAGGTAATGCAGTTGCACATCACACTTTAGGGTCCTGGCTCTCACTTGCCAGGTGACAGCTTTAGCAAGACAAGTATGGGTTTCTGACCTTTGTTTCCAGCTACTTTGCTGATATAAAAGCAAAGAGGTGACCATGGATAGAGAACTAAGTATTTTGAATATACTCAAAGATCTCAGACCTAGGAAGATGTAAACTCTTGTTTCATTGTAACTTTGTTTTCCTATCAAGCTTAGGGCTCACTATGCCTTTGCTCAAAGCACCTTAGGACCTGGCATGCTCACCCTGAGGGCTTGCACCCCGAGAGGTAGTGGGGAGGGGCAAGTGCTGGTACATCCTAACTTTAAAATACAAATGTAAAGATGTGTTTGGCTGACACATTACAGTTAGTGGGATGGCACACAGTATGTTCACACAACGTCCTTGTTCATTATTTCAGTGATCTATACCACCTTGCAATTCTTGTTTGTTTTTGCAGCGCTTATCTTTTCAGGATTGTAATATTGCATCTGGGGTTACAGCATAGGCACTGCCTGTGCTATAGGATCAGATGGACTTGCTACAATAACCAGAAACTGTTCCTTTGCTTGTATGAAATTTCAGTTTCATGGCAGAGGCCATGATGGACCTTTTTTTTTTTTCTTTCCCGAATTGATTACAGTCCATTTTCAAATTAGTGGTTTAACTGCAACAAAAGGTTTGGTATTATAATTATTGCCCTGAAGACTCATCCAAGCATATAAATAAATTCTACCTTCTGTGATTGTTACTGATGCCTTTCCTTATCTCGTAGCTTCCCACCTAGTGAAAGATGTCAGCAATAGGAGTAGTGTCTTCCTGTTCCTGTTTCCATCCTGGTGTATGGCTGCTGAAATCAGGGATGCAGAAGATGAGCTCCTTTGGCTTACATACAGCAGCCAGGTGTGCTGCCAAGGATTACTATGAAGTACTGGTGTTGGGTGGGGGCGCTGGTGGAATTGCCATGAGTGCTCGGATGAAGAGGAAAGTGGGAGCAGGAAATGTGGCTGTTGTTGAGCCAAGTAAGGTGAGTCTCCATCAGCTGTAAAGCATTGTAAAGAATAAGCTTTTTTTTTTACATATGTGACCAGATTGGTCTGATTCTCATCCCCCACCAGTCCCATGTTTCTAAATGTGGAGAGGAAGCCAACTAACCATCTTTTAAAAGGCTTTGCATGAAATTTGTTACTCCGTGAGATGTCTGCATCCCTCCAGCTTTGTCATGCAAAACTCTTGGTTATTTATACAGCTTCCTTTGTTAAGAATAATACATTAAGGGCACATTTCTTCCCATGTGGAGTGAGGTGTCTTCATCTTGAAGCCTTTTTAAACAGTTCCTAAATGTCCATTTGGACTTTTATTTCAGACTCATTACTATCAGCCGCTGTGGACCCTGGTTGGTGGCGGTGCAAAGCAGCTGGCGGCTTCTGCACGTCCAACGGGAACTGTAATGCCCAAAGGTGTGGAGTGGATCAAATCTCGAGTTACAGCATTGGATCCAGATAAGAACTGTGTCTGGCTGGAGAATGATATCAAGGTAGAAACATAAAGAAAAAAAAAAAAAAAGGAAGTTTTTTCCATCCCCTTGGAACTGCCTATTGAGACCTCTGTCATCGAGGAGGCCGGGAAATTCCACTTAGTCTTATGAGAAGTATTTGATCCTAAAATCTTTTTCTGATAAAAATTTTGGTAGGTAACTAGGTTAGAATAGAATCAGCTTAAAATATTATCATAAGTCTTTGCCCTGTTTATGGTGAAAAGGATGTTCAGATGTTTTGCTCCAGATATTTGTGTATAGCAAAGGCCGTGTGTAATGCAGTTTGCATTTTAACTAGAATGCTCAGAGCTTAACTTATATTACTAATACTCTCTAGATTTCCTTCCGTTATGACTCTATTGCTGTCAGATAATGCTTTGGTTTCTTTGTCTAAATACTTCTTTTTTTTTCCCTCACACAACAGGTATCTTACAAGTATCTGATAATTGCCCTTGGAATTAGTCTGCATTATGAAAAGGTATTTGTTTTACAGTCATCATGTTTTTACTAGTTTTAAGAGCATCACATACATTCATTAAGGCTTTTCAGTACTTTTTTTACTGCAAGATATTGAACATTATCTGAATGAATGAACCAGAAGACTGATTTTACCACTTCCACAGATCTCTGTAATAACCCAAATTACCCATGGGAAGGTATTTTAAGACAACTTTGTTGCATCTCTATGGCAATATCAGCAGATGGGGCAGCAAGTTAAATCTAGAACTTAAAGGCAGCCTGTAATAATGAGATAATAAGGCATGTTGACTCTAGTCCAAAGCATCTCTAATGTAACAGAATGAGGAACACACAGCAGTCAGTAAAATCTGTCCTGCAGAATTAATTTGTCCTACCCTCACCTTTCTTAAAGGATGCACTTCAAAAGGAACCAGCTGAGTTACCACACCTGTGTTCAAACTTCCTTTTTTTCTAGAAACTTCTTATATAGCTCTTTCTCAGTCTATATTTAATACTTGTCAATTGTGACAAAATTTTTGCCACCTGTACTTTAAACCTTCATTTCTTTTTCCTAGATCAAAGGCTTGCCTGAGGGTTTTGATCACCCTAAAATAGGTTCCAATTATTCAATTCACACGGTAGAGAAAACATGGAAAGCTATACAAGACTTTAAGGAAGGAAATGCAATCTTCACTTTCCCAAATACTCCAGTGAAGTGTGCAGGGGCTCCTCAGAAGATCATGTATTTATCAGATGCATACTGGAGGAAAGTAAGTATTTTACCCTCTCTGCCAGTGCTTGTCCCTACAGTTGGAAGGAAGGATTTTCTAAGGGTTTCATATTATCTTTAAAACAAATATAAACCACATGAGATGACTGTGACTCAGGATTCTTCAAGTGAGTGAGTTTCTTTTTCTATTATTAATGTATAATGAAGATAGGTAAATGGATTGTACATAAATATTTAGCATACATTTAATACCAGAGAGCCTTGTAGAATTCAGAATCCATAAGGAAAGAACTGCTTACCTGGCTTCTGGTGAGCTGCAGATAGAACTGTTCTCAGCCTGATTTATAACTTCAGGTCCTGCACTAATGTAATACTGGTTGGAATTAACTAATTCTTGTTACTTTAAGTACTTGATACCTGTTGCCATTTGTCTTTCAACTAGTCTGAGAAGTGGCTATGCTTGCTCCTTGGAGCACACAATCAGGAGGAGTCTTAGCCAGGCTGTTAAACAAGCTTGGTGAAAGCAAAAGACAACTTCAGGTGGAAGTGTCAGGCTTCATATCCATATAAGTGTCATGAGTTGTCTAATGGGTGAGTACCTGAATAAGGCATAGAAGTGAAGGTTTCAGAAAGCTATATAATGCTAAGCTGCTACAAATGCTTAATCTGCACACAGCAGTTCCTCAGTGCACTGCAGCCACCTCTTCTCACAAGCACTTTGAAGGTCTGCCTTTTAACATGGTGTGAAATAGCTGTGTCTGAGACTTCTAATGTTAATACTTCATTAATAATTGAACTGCATGAATAGTTCTCTCAGCTCTTTACTAGTGCAGCATAGTTCTTTTGTCTCTGCTAGCCTGTCACAGCTTCTTAATAGAAAAGGCTAATTTGATCTCTTTCTGCAGACAGGAAAACGTTCCAAAGCAAATATCATGTTCAACACTTCACTTGGTGCAATTTTTGCTGTTAAGAAGTATGCTGATGCATTGCTTGAAGTAATAAAGGAGAGGAATATTGCTGTGAACTACAAGCGTAACCTTGTGGAAGTTCGAGCAGACAGGCAAGAGGCCGTGTTTGAAAACTTGGATAAACCTGGAGAGGTTGAAGTTCATCAGGTCAGGAGCTTTCAGACCTGTAGTTTGGTTCTATTTCTTTTCCCTGTGTACTGTAACATAACTTCCACACTATAATAACATGTCTGCTTTTTTGTGTACTGCTGTTCCTTCCTGAGAGTACCACCTCTAATTTTAGCAGAATATTTAAAAGCTTGAAACTAAGGTGGAGAGAAGAAAAAAATATTTCATAAACTATGCCTGGAGTCCTGCATGCCATGGGAATGTTTCAGGTGTGCATGGAGGAAGGCAAATTGCTGTTATGCCAGTCCAGATGGAGTTCCTTGATAAGGTTCATGTTCACTAACTGATGTGCTTGAAATCTGAGAACAAATTTTCATTCTATACACTTGTGTTTAAAAAAACAAACCAAACCCAAACCCAAGACACTCTCTGCACACTGTGCTTATTGCCTTATATCGACACAGAGTTTGCTCTGACGAACTGAGCACTGAGCCCCTTTTCTTTCTGTTTAGTATGGAATGCTTCATGTCACACCCCCCATGGGGCCACCTCCTGTACTCATCAACAGTCCTGTCTCAGATGCAGCTGGCTGGGTGGATGTAGATAAGGAAACTCTACAACATAAAAAGTATCCTAATGTCTTTGGCATTGGAGACTGCACCAACCTTCCAACATCAAAAACTGCTGCAGCTGTCGGTAAAGTTGCATATCTGTGTGTTTGTGGGTGTAATGACAAGTGTGGAGTCACAGTAAGCCTTTTGTTTAGTTTGTTACTCCCAAGGTCTTGACTTCAATTTTTAGCTTTTAAAAATACCAAAGTTAACTACAAATCATGCTAATGCCACTAACCCACACAGTTCTGTTGTTCCAGATACCTCACAGATGAACTAATTCTATTTTCTGTGTTCACAGAATGACATGACTATTATTCTTGTATTCCATCATCATTAACAAAACTTTCTGCTTTATCTTAGCACCTCATGCATATGTGTCAGCCAGTTGATAAGTCACTACCAAAAAATCACATATTCTGTCCCTGTAGCCACCAATTCCACTATAAAAACACTTTGGGTATATGGTCTCACAACCAAAAAATGGCAAATAAAAGGGTGGAAAAAAAGAAAAGGTATACACTATGTTATTGGTGTAATTTAAGAAAGGGGAAGTCAACTATTTCAGCAAAAGGGTCTACAATACTTCTTTCTAAAAAAGAAATTCAGTGTGCCAGAATCTCAGTGCTTGTGAAGACTGAGCAAGTATAATCTATCATAGGAGAATGGGCATAGGCTAAGAATATCAGCTCAAGTTTCATTAAGCTTAAGCATGTTCCAAGCAGCGAGGCCAAACATTAGTCCATTTTTCTTTTAATCTGGGACTGTAAACTTACATGTAAGTTCAATTGCAGCTGAATTGTCCAACAAAATGCCTGGCTGCTAGTGTTTGCTTTAGTAATGACAATTGCTACCTGAAACAAAGCCTTAGTACTTTTTTTTTTTTCCTCTCTTATGCAGCTGCCCAGTCTGGAGTCCTTGATAAAACTATTTCTCTGGTAATGAAGAACCAGTTGCCAGCTAAAAAGGTACTCACAGCTCCTGGATTTTTTACAGCTCTTGTCTTACAGATAAATTATCTTGAATGTTTTCCCCCTTCTCATGCAGGAAGTCTTGCAAGCAGCTGAACCATGTGAACAGGAAGGGTTTTGCAGCAGCAGTTGGGTGCTAAATGGCTCCACACTGCATGTCAGAGTCATAACTTAATTGCACAATTCATGCTCTTGATACTGCCACTAAAAACATTATCTATTTGATTCCCTGACTTCTGAGTTGAAAGAAGCTTAAAGGCTGCTTAGTCTCGGTTCTCCACCAATGCAGGTGATTTATTTAAACTGTTGACTAACAATCCCTACTCTAGGAACTCTTGCAAACTTGTTTCCCCTGTAGAAGCATGATCTTCTAAGGAGTTAAATTGAAAGTTTTGTACTACAGCTGATAAGCATGTAACTATGTCCAAATTTCTGAGGCTTTACTTTCATTCTACATATGGCTTCTGAATTAATATTCGTTGGGACACCGACCTGAATGTCCTGCGATCTTCTGGAAATTCTTGCAGTTAGATTCAAGATCCTGTTAGTGCCTGTTGAAGCAAACACCAGTTCTCATCCTGATCTACTGGTCACCTGTTCTGCTGGTTACAGTAACCAACAATTAGTGACATAAAGCCCTATTGTTCTAGGTTAGTTCTAATTTAAGCAGTGTTGTCAAGCAAATCTACATTTGAAATAGAGGGGCTTAATATTATGCTTATTAAACCATCATCAGCTTAGCAGCCTTCCAACTTCACTGGTATTAAACCTGTAAATGCAGAAAGCTCATAGTAACTTAATTTTGAAATGTGAATGTTAACCATATGGCTTGTAATACCTCAGCATTTAGGCTTTGTTCAGCTGAATGAGAAGTGGGTATTTTTCCTTGCAGTATGATGGATATACTTCCTGCCCGCTTGTAACAGGCTACAACAAGGTGATTCTAGCAGAGTTTGACTACAATGCTCAGCCTCTGGAGACCTTTCCCATTGACCAGAGTAAGGAGAGAGTAACCATGTACCATATGAAAGCTGATATGATGCCTTTGCTCTACTGGAATGCACTACTTAAGTAAGTATTTCACTTCTGTGATCAGTCAGAAAAAACCCCAACTGTTCTAGTTTAGTTCCTTCCTGGAATAGAAGCAAACCAAGTACATCCTTAGTCATAACTAGGACCTGGACCTTCTGAGGATTATGGGCACTTTGATAGTAACAGGGGTTTGTTCAAGAACAGAGCTGAATTGCAGAGAAGGGCAGCCATTGCCAAACTGAAAACTTCACTGAAAGAAACCTCCAAAACAATCCCTTGTCACTCATCCTTCAGCAGTGTATTTCTTACAGAAATAAAGAAAAACTGTCCCCAAATCCTACTTCAGTAGTAGATATACAAAACCACTTTCTCTGCTTCTAGGGGATACTGGGGAGGACCAGCTCCCTTCAGGAAGCTGATGCATCTGGGCTTGAAGTAACTGCTCATTCTCGGTGTCGGTCAAACCCTTTTGAAGAAAATGGATTGGTCTCACACTGATCAGTATCTTCCCTCTTGGAATACCTAAGAGATCAACATGTACACTGGATGTAAGAGTGATTCAATGCTAGTAAAATGGCCTGAAAGTCTCCCACTGTTCTCTCATTTTTTAAGAACAAAATCAACCCTAATTTCTAACCATACCTGCTGCCTAATTATATGGATTATAGAAATTCATGCAAGACACTGAAATGAAAGTAAAAGCAGTGTATGTGTATATGGATACATACACACACTCTCCCAGGACAGTTGTGCCCCTTCACATCAGTTCCACTATAATGTTTTAACATATGGCAGTAAGAACATCATGAAAAGAATTCCCAGGAGACTTGGAAAAGACTGAGATCATCTGAGATGACACACTAAACTGAAGCACAATTGAGGATCACAGACAAGGGGGAGGTGCTTTTTAATTATGGCCATGTAGAACTCAAGTTTTCAAGGGAAAGTTGAACAAATTTGAACTTAAGAGCTGAGTCTTCACAGAAGCTGGAACTTTAGTGGCAGTCAGGTAGACAGCATGGAGCAAACAGGAATCATCTTCAAACAAGAATCAGCAGCAGCAGCTTACTTCTAAACAGAAGATAGAAGTGAACATATTTCAAGTTACAGCTTCATGCATTTTCAACACAGGCTTTGAAAGAGTTGCCTTTGAATTGCAGTTATAAGCATGAACACCTACCTGGGTGTTAAGTAATTCTTCAATCTTATTCTGGATCTGCCCGTACACATCATTAAACAGCTCCTCCTTTGATTTTGTTCCATCCAAGTGCACTGAAAGTAAAGTAACAGAGCTATAACTGAATGTTTCTAAGCTTACCAGATCCTAATTTAAAAAGCATGCAGTTGACTGGTATGAGAGAAATACACTCCCTCACCTGCTTCATTCACCTCTTCTCATGCATCTAACCAGTATGTATAGAGCAGGTCTGAAAAGCAATCTCATGAAGTCCTTTTGTCATTAAAGACTTACCCACATCAACTCCAAGTTCTTCCATTATCTTCCTGTGCTTTACATACATAGGCCAAACGTGGCCATCAAACAGTCCAGGTGGATCTGGTACAGTGTAATTCCTTGAACTGTAAATTAAGGCATTGTTACTCAAAAGTATTGTAATTACAGTTCAAAGAAAAGACATTTTACTCAGTTTCTCTACACACTAGCCTGAGCCTGTTGTCTCCAATGTAGTTTCTGAGCTTATGGAAAGTCAGTATTTAGCAAGAGCTGCAAGCACAAAAATACCCAAGTAAGTTGGAATTTGATGGGCAGGTCCAAAGAGCTCAAGATGCAAAAAGAGTTCCCAAGACAGACTGATCTAAGCACTGATGAGTAAACTCTGAAAGCTATAGCAGAACTTTGGGTAAAACAGCCGTTTGCTTATTTGTCTTGAAATGTAACTTCAAGTTTAACACCTTCCATTTGCATTAAGAACACTGCATATGTACAACAGTACAGCCAAGTGTAAACCCCCACATAGTTCAAGATCTGGGAACTCTATCATTGGAAAACTAGCAAGGGAAAAGACTAGTGAAAGGTCTGTGCAGAAACTGAGCATTACAGACACAATAGCTTAGTATGAAGCTTTGGGTTGGTTTCCTGAAGGAAGCTACAGTCTTCTAATAAAACAGCTACATTAGCATTTATGCCTTCTTATCTAAAAGCTTCAAAGAAACAAAATCTTGAACAGAGTAAGATGTTACTGGGCTAACAAGGAAACTCAGAAAGACAAATTTACCTTCTTCTCCTTTTGCACTCTTCATATGGAATGGAAAGAAAGTACCGATGGTGGAATATGTCAATCAGTGGCCTGAAAGAGACATGTGGTTGGTTACAGTAGCAAAAAATGGAGAGGTAAAACTACATCCATTTACTGTACCTAGAGCAACCTTCAGACTTGTGACATCTAAACTAAGCAGTAGTACATAATGTAAAAGTCAAAATGTATGGATGCATATTTGATTACCTGTAGGTGTAAAGCAGGAAGCCTTCAACGATAAGAATGTGAATTGTTTCATCTCCTCCCTCCTTATCTGGCAAGATCTGGGCATCCAGTGTGTTGTTGATCCCATGAGAACGTTCAAACTTGACTGGGTTTTTTATCCAAGCATTTATGGTGCTCATCATGGCTTCCATATCTAATGCACTAATCACTAAGACAAAACAGACAACTATCATTAAGCAGTAATTAAATTAAATTATCTAGTAATATAGTCAGTACAAAACAGTGCCCATAAAGAATCAAAATACTCCAAGTTTTTGAGTTATGCTTTGAAATACGGTAAGAAAGGCTTACCATCATACTGTTTAAACCCATCTTCAACTTCTATTTCATCTTGGGGCTGAAACAGTAATAAGAAAAAAAAAACAAACCTACTTGGTCAGGAAAACTACCGAGAAGCTCAATACCCATTTCAAAGCAAAATTCAAGACTCAAACCCTGAAGCTACCAAAAAGAGGCTCTTCACCCTCCACCAGGTTCCTTTGCATGCAGATAAAAACCAACAGTACGAGGCTCAGATAAAGCCGCTCGCTTCTCTATCTTCCCAGCGACACGAGCACACCGTGCAGCCCTCCATGGGGACGGAAAATCACCCGGCCACGCTGGAGCGCTTATCCGCCGGGCGCACGGGCCCAGCCAGGCTCTGCAGAGGCGGCGCAGGGCGGGCACCGCGCCAGCAGCGCGGGCGGAAGCCCGCGGGGGTCACCCCGCGCCCTCCCGCGGCCGGCAGGGCCCGCTCACCTTGAAGAAGTCGTCCTGGTGCACCACGCTGCAGTTGGGCAGGGCCGCATCAGCTGCCGCCGCGTCAGGGTGGTCTTGCCGCCGTTCGTGACCCTGCGGCGAGAGCGCGGCCGTTCGGGGGAGCGCCACGTGGGGACCGGGTAACCCACACACCCCCGGCACTGCGGCACCGAGAGCGCCGGCAGAAGGGACCCGCCGCCCGCACGCCCCCCGAGCCACCCCCGGCCCGGCCCCGGCTCTCAACCCGCCGATGCCGAATGATGATGTTCATGGCTGTCCCGCGGCCGCCCGGCCCGACTCCTACCGCCTGTCCTGAGGGGCTGGGAAGGGGGGGGACCCGGTGTCTCCGGTACCGGCCGCCTACGTGCCTGAGCCGGGACCCGGGCAGGGGGAGGAAGGGGCCGGGAGAAAAGGAGAAGGTGGAGAGGGGAGAGGCCAAACGTCAACTGCGGTCCGCGCCATGGTGGCTCTGAGCAGCAGCAAGGCCGGTCCGCGCCGCGCCCGCGCGCTCCGCAAAGAGGTGGCTCCTCCGCGCGCGCGCCTTCCCCTCGCGCCCCGCCGCGCCCATTGGGCGGCCACCGCCTCCCCGCCAATGCGGAGCGCCGGCGGCGCGGCGCCTCGCGGTGATTGGCTGCGGCGCTCTCAAGTCAGGCCGGGCGGTGTTACAAGCGCGGCCGCTGGGGGCGCTCGTTGGGCGCCGCCGGGTACGGACGGGCGCGCCGAATGGCGGGGTCGTGCGCCTCCGCGTGGCTCCGGGGCGCAGTGCGGAGAAGAAGCTGCAGCAGTGCCGGGCGCTCGGCCGGGCCCCTCCGCCGTGTGCTGCCGGTGGCCCGCTCCGGACACCGCCTGGCTCTCGGCACTGAGGAGCTGCGCTGGGGCCAGGCGGCGGCTGGGCCGGGGCCGAGGCCTGGGCCGGCCATAACTCCCCGTGAGGGCGGCGGGGCGGGAGGCCGCGCACGCGGTGCGCAGGGCGCCCCCTGGCGGAGCGCGCGGCCCAGCGTGTGTGAAGGTCACGGCGTGTCCTCGCGCCGGGCCGTGAGGGGGCTGCGGGAGCCGGGGAGGACCGACCGGGAACGGCCCCGAGCAGCCCCTGCTTCCCCGGCTGCCCTCACACGCTGTTCCTTGGCGGCTGTGGGAGTCCCTCGGCAGCGGCTGGGGGGACTCCTCCAAACGGCTGTGCCTGAGGGACTTCACCTTTTCTTTCTTTTATCCTTTTATAAAGAAGGGAAACTTATCGTCACAGCTTTCTTTTTCTTTCTTTTTTTTCATTTTTTTTCTGGTAATTTAATCTGAATTTATTTTTAGTAACATTAAATTCCCTAAGTTAGAAACCAGTAACTCAGTTCGCCATGTTTACAATGCCAGTGGTTGGTGTCCTGCCAACCATTTTCTTGCTTCTCATCCTTTTGTGATTTTTGCTAATTTTCTTCTGGTAAGACCACAGGCAAATCTCAGTTGATTTCTTTCACAGTTATTTTTAACTTCCAAAGGGAACACAAAATTTGGCCTCTTGACTTTTCTTCTTTTTTGAGGAGGAATAGACATTTAGTTGAAAATATTTTTTTTTCATGTTGTGATTAAGGTTATTTAGCTCATTTTCACTGTGAAATAGAAGAACTGCCTTTGTGGTTTGGGGTATTTTTTGTGATGGTTTTGTTTGTTTGTTTTTGGGGAGGTTGTTGTTATTTTTTAAATATATGCACTTTGAATATATGGCTTTGAAAAGGAGGAGCTCCTCACGGACTACGCCCAAATTCCTCAGGTTAAAAGCACCAACACACCTAGACTAATGAAGGTCTCAGGTGAAACCCTATTCTCAGCTTCCTAAAGCTCCAGGATGGCAGAAGACCAAGAGATACATTCATGCTACATAATAGCATTATTATGTAGTGAAGGCTGCAGCCCAAACTTAGTTTGGAATCTGTACATACTCTGGTAAAATCGGGATGTTACTTGCAAGCCGTTAAACTCACTCTACTTCAGGATTTTAGCTGTTTGGCTCCAAAGTTCTTCCAAAGTCTTGGTCATTTATTGTCTTGTACTCCTCACCTTTCACCAAGCAAGATGCACTCTTCAAGTTTCATGCTCAAAACCAGTATTTGAAATACAAATGCTGATTTTTTGCCACACCTTGCCATTCAAATGTATAAACATACAATTGTTGGAGGATTTTAACAGATATCAAATGAGCAAAGGATAATGGACAAATTAGAAGCACAGAGGTAATTAGGCTGAAATATGCTTCTCACATCAACTCAGTACTGATAGAGCTGGAATGAAAATGGCAACTGGCCTCAGTTAATCACAGTTTAACATGAATTGGGGCAGGGTGATGGCAGCCTGTGCCTGATGTGTGATAATATACATGAACTGTACCCTCATTGTCCTTCACTAACAGCTCCAGCCAAGAATTTTACATTATCAGACTTTGAGTCTAAAGTTGGGAAGAATAAACACGTTTAGTGTTGTTAATTATCAGGATCACTGTGCACCTCTCATGTCTGTGCAAAGAGGATTCTTTTGTTTTGATTCGGGCAAATATTTTCCGTTGATACTTTGTAAGTAAAACAGAAGAGTATTTTGAATACTTTTTAATACACAGCAATGGTACAACAAATTGAGTGTTATGCTCAGGAAAGTAAATCTGAGCCTTCATAAAGCTCCTTGGGCACTTTAAGGCTCCGGGCTCCAGAAGGGCCGTGCATCCTGCCATCGGATCCAGCATCCGTGTCTGCGCGTGCTAGCCATTTCCCAGGCCCTTTGTCCCCTCTGCTCGATGATACTGCTGCCATGGTGAAAAACAGAGGGAAAGAACAACAGGATATTGTCCCATTCTACTCTGCGTGCCAACTGTGACAAAATGTTGTTTTCTCCTCGATTTGGGGATCCTTGTTGGGGATTCTTGTTGGCTTTTACTAGTCCTGAGTGAGCCTGGAGACACTGAGGTGTTTTTTTAAAATTCTCCCAGTTAGTGTGGAGACCTTGAGTCTCCGGGAGCAAGGTGGTGTCCCATGCACTGGCGCGAACACCGCCGTCCTGGGGGATGATTCTCTGACTCACGTAGCGGAAAAGAAGCGTCGTGGTGTAAAACACAACAGGAAGACGCTGAGCACGCCGTGTGCCGGGGGACACCTGCAGAGCTGCCGCAGGGGTGGAAGTGAGCCACGGGCTGCAGGGGGAGTGCTGAGAAAACTGCACGGCTGCACAAATCTGACGCCAAACCAGGGCGCTATTTTTGGTCTCCGCTCTGCTGTTCTGACACCTGTGGGCTCGCGTGAAGCGCGCAGCTCGCTCGGGCAGCACCTCCTCCCGGAGCCCAGGAACCGCCGCAGGGCACGGGATCGCAGCGCAGCGCTCCTGCTTGGCCAGCGGGACTAATTATAGCCCGGGAATATGAACTGTGAACGTGCTGGAGTTGCCGAGACGGGAGCTGGCTGTGTGCCAGCGCTCGAATGAGGACACTCCATCCCGGCAGGACTGCCTGGGAGCTGCAGGAAACCCCGAGGTATGAGCGAGCCCCCCGGAGGGAGATGGACACATGGGGGGTAGGGCGGGAGGATGAGAGGCGTTCAGCCCTTGCTGTGGGATGGGGATGCTGTCATCTCAGTCAGTCTGCTCTCGAAATAGGTTATCACTGCAGAGGGACACACTTTGTGATTTTTAAGAAAATCTGCATGTGAAGTGATAGCAAAAGCTTCGGCTTCTGCATGTTCTTACGGTAGTGTGGGCCACTGTCCCTTCTAGTGGTGATAAAGACCATTGTGAGAGGATGAGAAGAGGTTAAAAATTTATCCACCCAGGATAAAATTAAATAATATATGACATGTTCTGCAATAATGTATCATATGGACTACCTAAGGCAAAGGGACAGACATAACAAATGTTTTGAAAGATAAATGGCAGAAATTTAAGAAATCTGCTTGAAGTGTGAGGAGTGAGGAAGTGTAAGAAAACCACAAAGGTGAAAGAAATAGATGTGCTAATTACATAATTGTGGGACTACATAAGAAATGCCTGTGAAGGGGGAAGCTTATGCTGTTTGGTTGTGAGAGCTTTAGTGGGCGTCCAGAAAGATTGAATTGCTGAAGCTGTAACTTCTGTTAAACTGTAAGCTTGAACAAATAAAATCTTCTTTATAAATGAACAGGTTGTAATATTGTTTTAATGAACAAGTAGATATGAAAGGCTACTCCATAGCCCTAGGTTTGATTCGAAGGAAGATATGTTAAAAAAAAAGTCAGTGACTACTAAAAGTTGGGCTGTGTCCTGGCTGCAGGGCACTTAGAGTCAGTGAGCCTCCTGGCTGGGTCTCCAGTTCAGGAGTGCCATGCTAATAGTTTTGTGTATTCTGGGAAGCTCCAGGCTCTGATGAATGATTTCTCTTGCTGGTATACAAGGCTTTTCTTTTCTCTTTTAAGGGCTATTTGGAGTTATACAAGGTTCTTTGCTTTAAGCTTTTCTGTGTCTAAGAAGAGTAACCATATCAGATGTAAAGCCCAAACTTTCTTTTGCACCAGTTTGTAAATGTTAAGTGGTCAATCTGTTGTGGTTCAAAGTTAGTTTCTTTCGAAATAGTAAATAATTCATAAGTATTGGCTAACTCTGCTTACAGACAGATTATAGACTGTTAAACAAGGCCTCACTTAATTTTAGCATTGTTTTTATTATATTTCTGTAAAGAACTTATGTTACTGTCTGTGATTAAATGCACAGAGTTCTTACCCCTGATTTCTGACATGGACATGATTTTAAATTGATGCTACTCTTTTTTCCTGGTGTGTTTAAGAATGTAACAGTCTTGCTTTAGTCTTATGAATTGCCTGTTTCTCAATAACTCTTACAAAACTTTGATATATTCAGTGTAAACTTAAATAATAATCTCTTTACAGGTATACTGATCAGATGCATTCTGTGATCTTTACCAGTGAACCTGCACAAGCAATTCCTTTCTAAGCTCACTCAAGGAACTGCATCTTGGTCCTTGTACTCCTCAAACTCCCAGAGAAATAATTTCACTTAACAAGACCTTGTTACCTACTGAGAAATATAATGACTGAATTCCTGGTTTGTTTTAACTGGTGCAATGGTGAACAGCCCCAGCCGGTAGGTAGATGCACAACTGCCACCTTTGTCATATTTGAAATTTTTTCTTTCAGTTACAGAGAAAACACTTTCATTGTCCTGTTGTTTTGATTAATTTGGGCAAAGTAATGCAAAGGCCAAAACCAGTCCATTTGAACTACGTGTGCTTTGCCAGAAACTTGGACCGTATGACTGCAGCTCTCA